TAGTTGTAAGAAAGACATAAAATTTACCAAAACCAACCCAATTAATTATTTTAGATGTATAATCTCTCTTTTTCATCATATATTATTTTTGGGTGACGTTATAGGAGGAGCAAGAGTGGATAGTGAAAGGGAAGGAAGAAAGGGGAAAAGGGGATGGTTTGAAGTGGGAAGATACAAAGAAGATGACGATAACTTCAAGGGTTATCCAAGAGACTCTCAGAATTGCCACCATTTTGTCCTTCACTTTCAGAGAAGCTGTCCAAGATGTTGAATACGAAGGTCAGTGTAACAATACTATTCAACAGCCTAACATAAATGTATTTTATGCTCTCTCTTTTATCCAACAAAATCAATCTCAAATTTAAATATCATCAGGCCACTTGATCCCCAAAGGCTGGAAAGTTCTGCCACTCTTCAGAAACATGCACCACAGTTCAAACTACTTCAAAGAACCAGACAAGTTTGATCCTTCCAGATTTGAGGTATTAATTCACAAACATGAGCTTTTATTTTTGTTGCCACTATATATGTACACACACTTACTTGACCAATGACTCAGTTCCCTTTTTTAATTTTAATTTTTATAGGTAGCTCCAAAACCCAATACTTATTTGCCCTTTGGGAGTGGGATCCATGCATGTCCTGGGAATGAACTTGCTAAGTTGGAGATTTTGGTGCTTCTTCACCACTTAACCACCAACTACAGGTTTCTCAACTTCCCCACTCTATCACAACCAATGATGCTCATTTTTGCAATAAATACAAATTCAATATTTTCTCTTTTATATATTCATATGTGTGTTTTGAACATTTGTTGCAGGTGGTCCATGGAGGGAGTACAAAATGGGGTTCAGTATGGGCCATTTGCTCTTCCCCACAATGGATTGCCCATCAGATTGTGTCCCAAGAAATGATTATCTCCCAACTGGTTTCCAACTTTTTGGCCAAAATTACGAAGCACTCATTAAATCTCCTTTGGGGATAAGAGATACCCTAGAGTGGCTCTTTACCATACAATCCACCAAAGTCAACTGTATATGGGACCCATGAAGTCTAGGAAAATTGACTTGTAAAATTTTTAATGGAAAAAAAATTGAATTGAATGAAAAAATAAATAACAATTGTTGCATATATTTTTTACTGTGTGTCATCCTTGCCTTTTTTAATTCTATATGAAATTTAAAATTGTTAATGCAGATAATGAATAACTTTGTTGACAATAATATTAATTTCCATCGAGATATCGAGAGTAAAGATATACTTCTTCTAACCATATCCATATACAGGTACTATAAGTTAAACCCTCAACCATTCATTTTAGAGATAAGAAGTCTTATTCGTCATGCCAACCTAAATTGACAAATTCTATGTAAATTTTACCAAAATGTGTCTGTCCTATTAGAAAAGACTATGCCCGCTCAAATAAGGGATGTCGAGTTTCATATCTATTTGGTAAGAGGAAAATGAAGAAAACAGAAAGACATTTTTTTTTAATAAGTTCGATTTAAAAATTGAACTAGGGTTAAAATTTTGCAATTAATTTTTATGACTTTTATATATTGCATAATCTCTTTATTAAAATTTTATAACCCTATTTTTCTATTTTTTTATTTTTTAAATCATTAAAATTTTTATTTTCCCTTCATGTCCTTGTGCTAGTTCGCGAGATTTTTTTTTTTAAAAAAAAACTTTTGGAAAAGCTCACTGGTGTCAAGGTCTACCATCATTTTCAAGCAATCCAGCACTTCGGACTATAATTGACTATTCAAATTTGTCATATTTACTTTTTTTTTTCTTTGTATTTATTGTCTTTTCTGAGTCAGTCTCTCTAATGAACGTGTCTTAAAGAGGGATGATGAATCCTGTGGGCTACATCAAGTGTAAAATTCAAAGCAAATCACATTATCTACAAATTTTAAATACTTCTCCCGTCATAAATATAAAATCTTTATATTAGTGTGTATAAAGATTTTATATTTAGGACCGGAGGAGTAATATAATTTATTTTCCCAATAGCAGACATAATCCTATTTTCGAAGCTCATCCTCATTGATCATATTCTTATATTATTTTACAAGTCAATAAAGAAGTTTGAATCTGAACATTTTTTAAATGTTGCATGCAATATAATATATATATATATATATATATATAAAAGCAATTGGTAATTTGGAACTCTATCCTTCAATATAATCTACAGGACATTGAAGTGATTAACATCGTCCTCGTCAAAATGAAGCTGTTACGTGTCTCTCTCTCCCTTGTGTTATTTTGTGTTGCCGTGTATTAATGGCTTGGTTTCTCATACGTCTGTCCAACCTATATATTTAAGTCCATGACAAGTATGCTTCATTTTGGTTTGACTAAACTTATACATTCTTAATTAATTTTTTTCACCTTATCTGGTAATTAAATTGTGGACCCATGTGTTTGATGTATTTTTTGGATATGTGAATTAATAATGCATGTTTTATCTTAATGGAATTTTGTGAGTTTAGAAAATACATGAAAGGTATGTAAGTCTACTTTTCTATTTTGTTTTGACTATTTGTTGCTTCACTGTTAGCTTTTGTGACAGAATTTATATATTGAGACAATTTATTTAGTCAATTTTTTTATAAATATTCTTTTTTTTTTTAATTCCAATCACCCAATGAAAGAAGCTCACGGACCCACATACTTATGGGAAGCCGACTCATGCTTAAGCAAAATTTAAAGAGATGGTACGTGTCAATTAAGCCAACCAGCTCTCATTTTTATTGATACTGCTTGGTAAAAAAAGGAGATCATTCATACAGTACGGATCACTATGGAGCCCTTAAATACTTTCAAGTTTTTCCAAAATAAAATCTAGCATGAATTACACCGAGTTGAACATATAATTATTTGAATGGAAGAAAAGTATCGCATTAATTTAAACTACGTTCCCAGTTAAATATTCTTTCAGATCCCCTCCATTATATACTACATCCGCTCTGTAATATAAGATCCTGTTTGACTTTTATTTTGATCCTAAATATAAAACCCTAATCTACTTTGTCTCTTATATTTACTTAATTTTTTCTAAGATAGTCCTTTTAATAATTATAGTTCTAGTCAATACACTTGATTAGTAAGGATATTTTAGGAAAGACAACACCTATTTAGGACAAATAATTAACTCAACTTACTTTCTTAATCTTTTTAAATTAATCAACTGGTTTTTATAATTAAGAGCGGAGATAGTATTTGTTAATATTTCGTTACATATTCGAGTTTTTTTTTTTTTTTTGAAAAGTGTAAAGGTCAATCTGTAATGGCCAAATTTAGTACCCATGCTTCCTTACATGAAAGAGAAAAATCTGTGATTTGATTACCTATGTATTCATACATTTGTATTTTAACAAATTATTTCTGAATTACACGTCAATTACACAAAATCTTTTTTTTTTCTTTTGGTTACAAAAGAGGGCTAAGCCCAAACACAAAACAGCCATTGGTCACCAAAGTTCTCAACTGCTGCGGGCAAGAGGTCAAAATTTCAGAACTAGATAGACCCTTTTTCGCTAAGGAATCAGCTAACTGTTCAGGACAAATGAATAATAATTGTTTATTATAAGTTTTACATTAATATAAATTATAAAATATCATATAATTTGTGTTCATGCACATAACACTTCAGGTATCAATTAATGGGTGTAATAACTACAATTCCCTTTCCCTTATCGTAAGTTCTTTTTTCTATCCACCCCCCGAACCCCCCCCCCCAAAAAAAAAAGCAAGACGAAAGATGTGTAATGAATTAATGAATCATCATAAACTGGAGGCTAAAACGGGCTCCCTAAAGAAGTGGTATAGTGAATAGTACACGAGTGTCTCTCAACTATCAAGAAATAAGATATTTATTCCTTTTAAATTGGAAGCATGTGCATGTGTAAGAACTCGTATTTTTCATATGAAGCATGCGGATAGCTCTTGACCTCTCGTGAGCGTGGGTACAAGCTAACGTGGTGATGACCAATGAGGGAATGAGCTGTGAAGATAAAGAAAGGAAAATGGTCCTCAAATAATTGGAACACTGCTCCTCTTTCATTCTCGTACGAAGAAGATAAAGAATGTCATGTAATGTGTGGCAAAGGGGTGATTAAAAAACGAAGAGGAAGTGAAATCCCAAGAAAAGAATATAATTATTAAAAAAATTTAATGATAAGTGAGTAACATAAACTTTGTTGTTATTTCTTATATTAGAACTTATCATTCACCTGTTATGAGATATTTCAATAATTACATTTTTTTTTTGAAACTACAATAATTTTCCCACAAACAAAAGACACTTAGCTTTTCATTAAAGGGGGAAAAAGGCATGCATCGCTATCTCTTTTATTTCTAAATGAATTCCATAAAACTGGACTTAAATTTTCATCTTGGAAAAGTAATACACATATTAATGTTGCAGTTAAAGAGGAATGTCATGAAGATTGAGCTATCGATTGACTTGGCCTCATTCTTGCCATTGCTATTACGCACTGTTGAACCAGAGTGGGCAATATTCGGCATGTGTCAGATTCGACACGTTTCCCTGAGAGTCAATATATAAACAAGCAATAAAGCAAATCATGAAATTGCATTTCCACAATTACTAAAAAGCTCATCATATCATGGCACCACGAAGGAGACCTGTTCAATGTCACGCGCGTTGAGGTCCACAAAGGCAATACTCAGCGACACTATGATTAACAGAAAGATTCTCTGCTTTTCGTTACAATACGAACCACTCATAGCACTGGACCCTAATAATGATACCGCTAACAAGGGATTTCTCTGCTAATATTGACATTCCAAGACTAACGCCTTTAGAAGCTTTGGAACAATATACATGAATGCATAGGCAAATGATACCCAGAAGAAGAACTTCGGTAAATATAACAGAAGATGTACTAAGGAGGTTTTACATATCTTGAATCTCTTCGCATCGGTTGGCTCCATAAGTTAAATTCCTGCTCCTGAACTGCTATTTAAGCATAGATGCAAAAAATGAATGAGCCGCTACATGAGTCAGGCAAAGAAAAAAGGAAGCAGAAAATATTAAGATTTTGAGGAATGGATTGGCTTACAATGTAACTCAAACAATCATACTGTAGAAAATAGGATAATTTATTTTCTGTGTATATCTGTAGATGTTAGTAAAACGCTGCGCTTAGGCTTAGGCTTAGGCTTACTTAGCCTTTCATTGTATTTCCGGATGCCTATAAATATTGGGCCCTGTTAGGATCCAGAATCGGTGTGTGTATGACTTTTCCCTTCAATCAATACAGATTCATGTTCCTGTGGAATTTGTGCTCAAATGGTCAGGGTCTTGTGTTTCGACACATACCTTCTCAATAGCATCTGATACACCAGACATTGCTTGTCTGCCTTCTCTGAGGAGTTGCAACTGTGTGCGAATCCTACTATTATGTTCCTCTCCCTAACAAATAGAAAAGTGATTAGAGCAACAGGTGATGAGGCCAAAACACAAGTAACTGACAGGTTCAAGTGTTTGCCGGGGCCAGCATAACCAGAACCTAGGACATAAGCCAGTTCCAAAATAATCAAAGATCGATTGTATTTTTATGGCGTGGCTGAGTTCATTTTGTTCCAAGTCGGAGATATGGTCTGCTCAGCACTAGAAACAACTGCCTCGACACTTTCATTTTATTATAAAACACAGTGATGTGAATAAAGCGAGCCTTAAGATACGCGGTTGCCTTTATAACACTTCACTGCAAGTAGAGGCTGACAAGAATAGAACGTTTCATGTTGAAAAGCACAATTAAGCAGGAGGCTCATCATACATACAGTGCCACTAAAGAATCACACCTCAATTACACTTTTTTTTTTCCAAGGCATCCAACAAGAAGGAGAGAAACTTTGTTGATCACTTCCAACTTTACCAATAAATAAATAAATCTCTTTTGGAAATTAGGGCGGAAGGTAATAACAGTATCAGAAGGAAACAAAAGACAATGATCCCCAGGAAAATATCTCCACTTCTGAGCTTCACGTTCCCAAAAAGCTACAGGAAAAAGAATTCCTAGGAACTGATGGCACGCTACTGGGAGATGCTAAAGTTAAAAGGAACCCAAAAGTGAGAGCACTTTATCCATTTACGCAGGTTGAGAGGGTAAGCAAGCAGGATGAAAAATTGATAAAAATGTTTGGGGGGAAAGAAAAAAAGTTCCGCCAACCGGTCAATAGTCATGAAATCGTTCATTTTCTATTCAATTAGAGCATACAACTTCATGAGCATTAGAGAATCAATAATGCCATACAGCAACTAACCAATTTTATAATACGCGTCAACTGCTGGATTTCATTCTTATTCGCAGTGGACAGATCCTCAACCACATCCATGACATTACTCCTGCAATTGTGACAAAGCACCTCTACTGAGTTCAAATTATCAACAGATTGTGATGGCAATAATAATATAGGAAGCAGGAAGTTATTGGCACAAGTCCCAGAGTAAAAACAACAAGGAAAAAACTCTACATAAATAGTCGAGAGATTCAGATGAGAGAACAACTACGGAAAACCCCATAGTGTTCGAATCACCATGTTGAGCTACACTGATGTTGCTTTGAAGGCTAAAATGCATCGATTCTTTCAAACAGGACAATCTCGCATCAAGAATGATACTTCAAAACTTTAACGAACCACTTGATCTAATCAACCTTATCCAACTACGCACAGATATGCTGCTGACCAAATTAGATAACACGTACTTATTTGAGAACAAAGGATCCAGCTCTTGCTCTTCCACCATTTCCTCTACAGCATCAAGAGTGGCCCCCACCTACATAAGAGAGCAACATGACAAAGTTTGAACATGGTTGCATGCATGCCTGTATCCATACACTAATACTGTAAGAGTGTTATGATTCAACTGTCCAGATAACTGTCCAGACTCCAGAGCCTAACAGTTTGTGAGCACCACTACTGATATCAAATTCATCCACAATACCTAAGTAGTCTGTAACAATGAACTGGCCTATGTTTAGTAAACCAGGATTTACCAGGAATTACTGTAAACTACGGGGCCTCTTGTGCACTGTATGAAATCTAATGAATGAACTGCATTGTACGCAGCTTGTAAGCAACGCATCATATTGATATTGATTGATGGTATATTGATGATGCTGATATGAAGGCACGGATTTGCACCTCGTACTTTTATAAAACTACTTGAATGGGTCCAAGAACGATAACTTTGATATGAGAAAGCCTAACTGGATTCTGTTACGTGATTGCCACACAACTTGGACCTAGATGACAAGAAGATCAAAGAAAAAAATAACACAATAAATACAAAGCCAAAGTCATACCTGCGTTTCAAGACAGATTGACTCAAACTCAGCCTGTAAAAATTGATTTGACACAGAATTCAGATTTCAGCTTTGTAGCATAAAAATGACATAATAACAAAGCCATAGACGGCTAAAATTCTTTAAAAGCCACCCAAGTTGTTTTTAAGTGCACTCTATCAAAAGCGGCTTGATTTCAAAATTATTCCATTGTATCTGAAAAATTTGACTTTGCCGAACAGGATTCATATTTCCTTTAGGAATAAACTGAAATGGAAAGCTGCATCTTAAACATTCGATGTTGTTAGCAGCGTCATAGAACACAACGTTCTATTCAACATCATTGTGCATGGTATTGACCAACCAAGACATGACCACATTGTTTTCTGTCCGTCATGTCTCAAAGGAAAAACCCACGAAATGCGAATGAAGGCCAGAAAATAATAAACAAATAAAAGAGAGCCTAATGCTCCGATGCCCTGCAGAATAAATAAATAGAGAATTTGAAGAGGGGAGAGTCTGTATTAAATTATGAATCATTTACAATAAATGGATGCCTAGAGCCAAAAAGAATTTCAAATTATATCATTTCTAGTAAAGTTAACTACAATGACTATAAATTTAAAAAAAAAAAAATCCAGGAATTCGATGATGAAAAGTATCAAGTCAAGAGAGAGGCATAAACGAAAGCAAAAGCATAGAAATCACAAAACTGTACCCAATTCTTCCCTTAGCGTCCTCATATCTTAAAAGAGAAGGAACATAATCTACTATAATTGACAAAAGTACCGTTGTTAACAGTTATAACAAACATTACATACCTCTATATTTTCATGCAATGAAGTGATGACCTGAAAAGTTTGATCCGTTGAAAGGCGTTAGCATCTCTAGACATGTCGTTTTTTTAAGATAATACATGAGAAATAAAAAATATAGTTTTCTTGACAATTTAAAATCCAAATATTAAGTGAAAACGAATATCTACCAGCATCTTATATTTCATGTTACAAAATTTTTTACTGGTAATCACATCTGAGGCTTTTTACATGTGTGAAAAACGTTTGCCAACATAATTTCCTTCTGATGAAAACTCTATCCTAATCTATTTATTTAATATTAAGTGGGTGACAAATATGAATAGGTTATTTTCCATTGACAATGTGACCCCTTGAACTTTGCAAGATTTATGCAGAGACGGTCAGTATACATTTTTATCTGACTATATGTCTAAGGCACTAATTCAAATCCTCCAGAATAACCGCCCAGATTCAAAATAGAAGATTGAGAAAACAACACAGCAGCCAATGTCAAATGCCTACAGAATTTTGAGATATATTCTGTGAGCTATATTAATATCCAGAGATTATACCTGAAGATAGAGGCGATGAAGCCATTCTTTTTCCGCGGTTGTGAATCTCAGAAAAGCTTTGTCAAATTCCTTTGAATCCAGACAACAGCATGAATTCATAATATCAATATATAACCATTTTGATTTTTGATGATTTATGCAACAAAAGAAATGCTGTAAACAGCTCTTTCAATTTCTCACAGAAAGGGGGGAAATCGAAGCAGGAGCTTATTAAAAAAGGGAAGTAAAAGAAGCAGGATTACATACCTCCTTTGAGCAGGCAGTGAGCAAAGAACGCATAGCGAACTTGAAGGACTTTTTCAAATCAAAGTACCTGGATCCTATTCCAGCAGAAGATGATGCACTGCCAGCGAGCTCAGTATTCTTCTCCATGAACTCAGAATCAGGAACTGAAGAGACTCTTAAATCAGCGACAATAAGTATAGAAACAAACCATAAAGAACAATTTTAGACCCCAAACAGAATAACGTAGCACGAGCGTCGAGTAGTCGTTCGCGCCCCCCTCACCAGATCAAATGCCGCGAAATGGAAAGACGAAAGAGGCAGTTCGCTTTATTTTGATTTTGGATTTTAGAGGCAAAATTTTCGGCCTACCGGGTCGGGCTATTTGTGATTCGTGTTACTGTGGGCCGGTTGTAAATGGTGCCCAATTCATTGATGAAACCGTAAGGCCCATCATAAACTCAACATTTTTGTACGCGAAATAAAATAATAAATAAATTGGTAAATGATAAAAAGTTATTATGAACATGTAAATAATACTACCTCCGATTATTAATATAAGATGTTATTTGAATTTTGTTTAATATAATATCCCAATCCACTTTACTTCTAATATTTATGCATTTTTCTCAACATAGTCTTTCTAATAATAGTAGTTTTAATCAATACACTTGATTAGTAAGGATATTTTAAAAAAGACAACATCTATTTATTACAAATAACTAAATTAACTTATTTTTTTTAATCTTCTCAAATTAGTTAACTACTTTAAGTAATAATAGTAAAAAAATTGCCACGTTTGATGTCATGGCCCATTTGGTAGCGACTACCAGTAAGTCAACAACAGCAATCGATGAATGAAGTCAATCAACTAGCCATCAGAAACGAAATATTTAATTTACCATTCTTCATTATTGGCCTTATTTATGGCGAAATAAAATATTCTTCTCCTGTGTTTATGAAAATCAGAGCATATGAGTACGTAATTTTTTTTTGAGAGTTAGAAAAAAATTAAAATATAAATATAATGAGGAGAATATGTGAATTTTCCCCCACAGTCTATAGTTTCCCGTCTTTAATCTCTCTCTCTCTCTCTCTCTGAATTAATATATAAATGCTTTCCGTATTATTCTTGTAAACAATGATAAGAAAAATGATGGCAACGAAAAAGATAATGATTAAAAAAAGGTAAATTAATAATAAAAAAATATATACTATAAATGCGTTATGCACGCGGGGCTGCAATAATTGATTATTCGTTTGTGTGTGTGAGAGAGAAAGAGAGGTTGATTATAAACGAAGTTTTACAATATTGGCCAGTAAGTTATCAATTACCCAAAAGCCTTCTTGCATCCGCACGAGCAATCCCAATGAACAAAAGAAAAAAAACAAACAATGCTATGGTATATCCCTGCTATGTCCACCATACACAACACACACACACACAGATATGTTTAAAATAATATATATATATATTTATATAAAGAAGTAAATGAATTAATTAGGATGTATTTGAATGGTGGAGAAAGAAGAAGCAGATATGGAAGCCAGGGAAAGAAGAAGCAAAATGGAAGAGCCAGCAAAACAGCCAGGTTTGACGACGTAACAGTCCCCTTCCAACCATCCTTCTCCGTAATTCTGCTCCCCACTCATGCTTATCGCCACTGTTAATATTATTATTGCAACCAAACAGCCCACCCTGCCACAATATATGAATATACGAAACACTCAACTTGGCTATATATTAAAGTAGGAAATAGATATGCAAAGAGATTATACCAACCAGGAGATCAAAACCAGAAGCTTGGCAACAAGAGGTACGTTAAACTCGGGATTCTCAGCTCTGCCTAATTTTGAAGAATGATTGAAGAATATGAAATTTGCCAGAAGCTGAGATGCAGCCAAGCAACCCAAAGCTGCAATTCCCAACCAATATGAAGGACTTACTGGTGCATGACACAGCCTTCCGTTCCATCTGATCTCATCTTCCTGCAACATATGAGCTTATAACAGATCAAGAGAACGAAATGATAGTTGATCAGAAACAAAGCAACCTACTTAACCCACCTTATTCCTGAGGATCTCAGCCACAATACATAATACAAAGGAAACGAAACAGAATAGGACTGAGACTGCAAATAAGATTACAGGAAATTTGCATATAGTAGGAACGTTTTCCGTCATGCTGGTGGTGGGCTGGTTGTTGTTTCTGCGAACTAGAAACTTGAATTGGTCCCATGAAGATGAGCCGGTCATTATCTTAGCTTCTTCCTTGACCTGTGATATCTCCTTCTTGCCTCAGACTTAATTATATTGTCTCCTAAAAATTTATCGAATCTTCCATTTCATTGGTTTCAAGCAGACACATATATATAGATATAGATAGAGAGCAACTAATATATGGCTATATTAATTCTAAGCCAGGGTGTTATTAGACGGTTTTATAAATACTATCACTTTTCAACTGGAGCTGGTCAACTTAGTACTCCTTCGATGATGTTTCTCAGAAGGCACAGACGTCCAATTTTGGACCTGCTTTTTCGGCCTCTCGTTTGGGTTGAGGGTGATCGCATTTTATATTATTGTACTCCTCCGGTCCTAATTATAAGACCCAATTGACTTATTTGAGGAGATTAAGGAAGTAAGTTAAATTGGTTATTTATAATAAATAAGTGTTGTCATTCCTAAAATATCCTTGCTAATTAAGTATATTGGCTAAAACTATCATTATTAGAAGGATTATCTTGGAAAAAAATGCATAAATATAATAGACAAATGGATTGGGTCTTATAATTAGGACCAAATAAAAAGTCAATTGGGTCTTATAATAAGGACCGGAGGAGTATTATTTTTTGAGAGAATTATCAAGAGGTTTTCAAAGAAGGAATTTAATTACTGAAAAATCCCAATAACAAGTTATCGGCCTGAATATATTGTCATTTCCTACTCTAGAATTTGTCATTACTTACTCTTCACTTGTCGATAAATTTCAGGGTAATTAAATATCTTTTTGGAACCTGATTGTAATTTTTCCATATTTTTTAAAGTTGGAAACGTTTTTTCATGAGTGGATAGTCATGAGATTAATGATGGCGGAGATAAGATCTCTAGACCCCAAGCGATTTTTTATATATAAATTTCACGCTTAATTAAGTAGAGTTTGCCCACTAGCTCCACTTATCTTCAGTAGTAATAATAAACCTTGCAATTTGTTCATTCAAGAAAACAAGATACATTTCAATGACGATAATTGATTTAAATAGGGTTCAGTGTTAGTTATACTACTTTTGAGCAGAATCTCGAATTCAAGTCTATATGGTTTATTCTGGAAACCGAATGGTGTTAGAAGAGGAGGATGGATTCAAGGATGGACTTTTTCTGGAACTTAATATTACATAATATTGAGCATATATGGTTAAAAAAAATAAGAAGAAAAATTAATCTACAGATCTTAATTTATAGTTCACATTAATTTTGAATTAGGTTCCCTGCTTTATTTTGTTTGAATTATACCGTTATTATTTGATCCATTGTTTTAATTTGCAGACTCTATTGGAATTTCATTCATAGAAATAAATGAGTGTTAAAAGCATTCTTTTAATTAATGTGTGGCCCGGCGCATTCATGTTCATGGGTTGGAGAATCGCACAAAAGAAAACTCGAGTTTTGCTTTCTCTCTCTCTCTCTCTCTCTCTCTCTCTAAAAAGGGGATTTGGGTGTGGATATTGACCCTTCAACTGAGAGCAAATGGTTTTTCGTCTTTCAATTTTTTGAGAAGAATATCAAGTTGGGGGGGAAGAAGCAAGTGGCTTTATCCGGTTCCCGTTGATATGACTTTGATATTTGAGTTTCACTCTTGAAAGATCGAGTCCTTCGATGATCCATACCACGCTAAATTGCTAATCCTGCAGTTTTATTTTATTTCTGATTTTTCCGTTTCTTTTTTTTTATTATTCAAGTTCAAATATATATACATGCATAATAGGGAAAAAAAAGATACATTATTTTTTCCATAAAAATATCTAAGAAAATGTACATTATTTTTTTCATAAAAATATCTAAGAAATTATCACTCTGGTCCTTATTATTTGTCATTTGTAGGAGTTTCTCACATAGTAAAGAAAGTATTAAATAGATGAAATCTTTCATTTTTGTCATTATTAAGAAGAAAATTAAATATTAATATATTTTCTCTCACTCATTTCCTTTTTCTTCACTTTCACTATAATTAATAGGAGCAGAATTGAAAATGAAACATTAAAAAAAAGAGGTGTAAATAACACACACAAAAAGAAAAGATCAAAATCTCTTTTTCCACAAGACAAATAATAAGGAAAAGTGGTACGTAACAGGGTTACAGGTAACAGCAATTATGTATTTCCCCCTTCCCCATCTTATTTTATACTTTCCTAGTCATTAGCAAATAAAAGAGACAACGTATGCATGGAAAAAAGTTATGAATTTTGATTGCACTTTAAATGCCATGGTCCCAAAATCTATTAACCACTGCATGCATCGTGATTGTTAGTGAATTCAACGTGTCAATTTCACCCACGGCAAAGCATGCACATTTATTCTATAATTTGTACGTGGCAATCTTACAAAGCCATATTATCTGATCCGAAACACCATAAATAAGTTACAGAAATATCACAAATTATTGCCTCTTCTTCTTCCTGTTTTCATTTACATCTTTTTCTTCGAAGAACTTCAAGTACAGATTGTGCTGTACAGTAAGAAATCGCCTGAATAGTGACCATCGGATTCACACCCAAAGCCGTCGGAAACACACTCGCGTCCGCCACGTAAAGCCCTTCCACTTCCCATGTTTCTCCATTCTCGTTCACCACCGACTCCTTCGGACTTGTCCCCATCCTGCAACTTCCCATCTGATGCGCAGAACATAATGGCGTCGACAGGTCTCTCAATGACCTTGAACTTTCTTCCTTCACAAATCTCTCAAATTCATGGTAGCTCACCTCCTTCACCTTCAACGTCCTTCCTTTACTGTGATGGGTTCCGATTTCTTGAGCCCCGGCTGCTGCCAGGATTCTCAGTACTTTCTCTATTCCTCTCTGCAGATTCTTTTCATCCCTTTGCTTCATTTGATAGCTGATAGAGGTTGGTGAGTGAACAACCCCAGATCCTTGATCTCTTGCTAGTGCAAATATGTGAGCTGTTCTTGAGAACTTTCGCATTCGATCTTTGATATCAGTTCCAGAAACCCATGGCATTAGGATCGAGAACATACCAGGATGTAGTGATGGTGTTTGAATCACCACACCATATCCAGATTTCTCAAAGTCTGCATTTACTGTTGACATTGCTGTCATAATCCCTCCTTCATAGCTCTTCTTCTGTTCCTCAGGCCAAACGTTTGATGAAGGCGATGAATCTGGAAAATGTCCCCAAGCCATTGCTACTGGATGAAGATGCAAGTTCTTCCCTATATTTGGATTCTTTAAGCCACTTTTTCTGAGCAATGACGGAGTACAGAGAGCTCCACAAGCTACAATAGTGACCTTAGATTCCACAACACAGAAATCTTTAGATCCTTTATATTCATATTCAAAAGCCACCCCGTGTGAAACTTTCCTGTCTGTGCCTTTCTTTTTCTTGTGTAAGACTTTTACTGCTTCACAACCTGGAAGAATCACTCCATTGCCGGATTTCACCAAGTCCACAAGCCATGTTTCTGATGTGCCCTTCTTCTTCCCATCCTTACAGCCCATACAACACCAGCCACAGTAATGATCTGGTTGGGAATTTCGAGGAATATTACTCACAGGATAGCCCATTTCTTCACACCCTCTTCTTAATATCGCATTGTTAAATCCTTCTTCTTTGATCTCAGATTGAACTCCCATTTTCTCACAGACAGCTTTCGTGGCTTCTTTGTACAGCTTGCTCTTGAATAACTCTAACTCATGTTGATCACACCATTCCTTGCAAACGTGTTTTGGAGTTTCAAGGCAGGCTGACCAGTTTATTGCAGAGCCTCCACCAACAGTGGAACCTGCAAGTACTAATACACTCATATCATCAGTGCCAATCAAGCCATTAGAGAGGTACATTTGATCCATGGTTGGTCCTTCTAGAAGAGAAAGATTGTTCTAGCAGTATAGCTTCCCTTCTCTAAGACTATAACTTTGTAACCAGCTTTTGCCAGAACTCCGGCGACCACACCACCGCCTGATCCGGATCCAACCACCACCGCATCACATTGGATAACTGAAGAAGGAGATGATAGACTACTGGCAGGTTTAGATTTCCGACGAGTGACAGAGACCGGGAATCCGAATCGTCGAAGAGCATCTGCAGTGATGTGTCGAGGGTAATCTAGGTGGACAAGACCCTTGTAAAGAGGTCCAATGATGTTTTCAGTAGTATCATCGTCATCGTCCTCTTCGTCTTTATGTTCTTTGCCTCCTTCTTTTGATGCTGCCCGGAGAAAATCCTTCTTCAATTGGGCTCTGAACTCTGGATCAGGTCCTTCGTATCCTATTGCTTTCCATGATGGGTTGTCTTGTGCTTCATCTAACTGCAAATGGGAGAAAGACCCGTATCGGTACAAGGTTCCAAGCTAGCAGAAAAACACTGACCACATTATTCGATATATAGCATGTTACACTAATTAATTGATTTGGTTATCTGTAATTCTATATGACATGGAGACACTAAACACGTAAAATCCAATTAATTAAAAAGTCAATGTGTTGTGGATATCCTGGTTGTAATAGGTCTGTGTTGTTTGTTTTAGATCTTATACATAGCTTTGCTGTTTAGATCTTCATTCCTTCTTCCCTCTACGCTTTGAATTTAACATTTTATAAAGAAATACAGACCAAAGTCCACACCCTGTAAGAACTTTAAAAAAAAAAAAAGATCAAGAAAGAAAGAAAGAAATAATGTTTGACAAAAAAAATTGCATGGTAATTATAGTATCATACGATCATAAGTAATCAGCCCTGGCCCACCCAACTCAGCCAACTGCAGGAATTCTGAAGTTAATATTAATTGCATATGTGTAGTAGGGCTTCAGCAAGATATTAGGTGAAGAGTATCTATCATAGTCGATTTGGCAAGTCCTCGATCACATTACTTCTTCTCTTATGTGACGCATAACCTTCCATATTATATATATATAAATATATATATATTCATGTACACGCCACTTTTTTAAGCTTTGAAAACTTTATTCAATTTTCACAACTTGTCAGGCAAAATGTTCCCCATTTTCTCCGTTCCAATAAATGCCGCCTAAATTGATATACTACTATATCACGTTTAGATGTGTTCATCTATATTTAATTCACTTCTTAGAATTTTTTTTCCTACGTAATATATACTCTTTTGGTCCTAAATATAAA